GGGCTTCACCCCGCAAGTGGGGCTGGGCTGGGGGTGACTTACAGAGGTCGCAGAGTTGGGGTGGTCTGGCGCGCTTCACTCTGCCTCTGCGCAGTCCTTTGCTGGCTTTCCTGGCCTTTGATGACTGGGCTGATCGCTTGTTCCCACAGCTGAGCTTGGGCGCTCTCAGGAGTCCTCTTCTGTGTCGGCCCCAAAACCTCGAACCTGCTGCTGCTTGTTTGTCGATGTAGGATCCCAAAAGATTTTTTAAAACCTCCTTCATAAGACAGGTTTGCTTTTGTTTGAAAACTTTGGCTTAACCTGTGTTATTCTGTTTTTCAGAGAAACCATTTAAAGCAGAATCCTAAATATGCATGATAGAGAATTACCCTTGACACTTTTGGTACTTGTATTTATTAGCATCTCAGGTAAGTGATTACAATTATTCAGAAACATACTTCATTAGTAATCATCAGTAATCCAGAAAGAATATCAAGTTGTTATTTTTTTAATATGGAGGTGGCTACTAAAGATGCCAAACTTACTAAAACTAGTGATTTTAAATTTTCCTTTAGAAAGTTGCCAAGTATTTGGTGTCCTTGGCATAGAGGACAAAAGATTCACAGGAATGGGATCAGTAAAGAGGGTGCATACGGTACTGCTGGAAAAGAAAAGATTCAGCAGAGTTTATGTAGAGAGAGCAGAATGTACAAACTTGTATCTTGAAATAAATTTCATTTGTCTGAGATGAAAATTTGCTTAATGTTATTTGAAACTGAGGAGGTAACAGCCATCTTTGTTATTAGTTTTAGAAAGTTTTACACACGTTATCTCCTTCCTAAGAGGAAGGCAAAGATTCATCTGACTATTTGGGGAAGAAGAAAAGTGGATGGAAGGTACCTCACAGATCTTAAAGAAAAACTAGAGTCAGCAGGAGTACCCAGGAAAGACACTGGCCACACTAGGGAGGCTCAAGTAAGCTTCACAGCAGGTGTCAAATACCAATTTTAATTGTTAGCTTAGCAGTGACTGCTTGGAATTTTTTGTTTGTATTATTGAGAAGGATTCTGAGGCCTCATTCTTTGGGGAGGAGTTCTATGATTGAACATAAAGTGAACATGCAGAAAGAGAAATCAAGAAAGCCTGCCCATTTACAATAGCCACCAAAAAAATAAAATACCTAGGAATTGAGCTAACCAAGGATGTGAAAAATCTCTATAATGAGAACTACAAACCACTGCTGAGAGAAATTAGAGAGGATACAAGAAGATGGAAAGATATCCCATGCTCCTGGATTGGAAGAATCAACATAGTGAAAATGGCCATACTACCCAAAGTGATATACAAATTCAATGCAATCCACATCAAAATTCCAATGACATTTTTCTCAGAAATGGAAAGAACTATACAGTCATTTATCTGGAATAACAAAAGACCACGAATAGCCAAAGCAACGCTGAGCAAAAAAAATAAAGCTGGAGGTATTACTCTACCTGACTTTAAACTATACTACAAAGCTATAATAACCAAAACAGCATGGTATTGGTATAATAACAGAGACTCTGATCAATGGAATAGAATAGAGCACCCTGAAATCAACCCACGCACTTACTGCCATTTGATCTTCGACAAAGGCATTAAGTCTATTCACTGGGGTCGGGACTCCCTCTTCAGCAAAGGGTGCTGGGATAACTGGTTATCCATTTGCAGGAGATTGAAACTAGACCCACATCTCTCACCATTTACTAAAATCAACTCAAAATGGATTAAGGATTTAAATATACACCCTGAAACAATAAAACTTATTAAAGAAAATATAGGAGAAACCCTTCAGCAAATAGGGCTGGGCACAGACTTCATGAATATGACCCCAAAAGCATGGGCAACCAAAGGAAAAATAAACAAATGGGACTATATCAAACTGAAAAGTTTCTGCACAGCAAAAGAAACAATTAACAGAGCTAAAAGACAGCCAACAGAGTGGGAGAAAATATTTGCAAAATACATATCTGACAAAGGACTAATATCCAGAATATATAAGGAACTCAAACAACTTTACAAGGAAAAAACAAGCAACCCAATTAAAAAATGGGCAAAAGAGCTAAGTAGGCATTTCTCTAAAGAAGATATGCAAATGGCCAACAGTCATATGAAAAAATGCTCAACATCACTCAGCATCCGGGAAATGCAAATCAAAACCACACTGAGATACCATCTCACCCCAGTTAGGATGGCTAAAATCCAAAAGACGCTGAACGATAAATGCTGGCGTGGTTGCGGAGAAAAAGGAACTCTCTTACATTGTTGGTGGGAATGCATAATGGTGCAACCCCTATGGAAAATGGTTTGGAGGTTCCTTAAACAGCTGAAGATAGATCTACCATACGATCCAGCTATCCCACTGCTGGGAATATATCCAAAGGAATGGAAATCATCAAGTCGAAGGTATACTTGTTTCCCAATGTTCATTGCAGCACTCTTCACAATAGCCAAGAGCTGGAATCAGCCCAAATGTCCATCATCGGATGAGTGGATACGGAAAATGTGGTATATCTACACAATGGAATACTACTCAGCTATAAAAACGAGTGAAATACTGCCATTTGCAACAACATGGATGGACCTTGAGAGAATAATATTAAGTGAAATGAGTCAGGCAGAGAAAAAGAAATACCACATGTTCTCACTTATTGGTGGGAGCTAAAAATACACAAATAAATTCACTCACACACACACACAAAAAAAAACGGGGGGTGGAGAAAATATAAGAACTACAATTTCTTTGAAGGTGTTACAACAAGCAAACGGAAAGGACATTCTTGGGTGGGAAGGGGGAGAGGGAGGAGGGTGGGAGGTTTCGGTGATGGGTCATAATAATCAACCACATTGTATATTGACAAAATAAAAAAAAATAAAAAATAAAGAAAGGTTTTCCTTATGCTTTGGAGAAGAAAATGGGAGCACCATGTTAATTTGCCTTTATCTATTATCTGGGAGAGGGAAACACATGGGCCCATATTCCCTACTTTGAGAATTACTGCTGAAGAGATAGCAGAGTTCAGCTATTGATACTTTCGAATAACTCAGGTCCAGTTTGGAGGTATATTTACTTAAGTGGATTTATGTATTGTCGATATTCATACAATGCAATTCTACCCAGATGTTAAAGGAATGAGGAAGATCTTCTCTTCTTGGTTTGCAGTGATTTGTCAGAAGCTACTGAGTGAGGAAGCAAGGTGCAGGAGAATGGGTGTCATGGGTCCCAAGTTCTATGGACATATACCAAGATCCTTGTCCCCAGTTACAATGAAATTGTGTTTCAAGCACAGAAACAGCTCTACAGTCTGTCATGTTAGGTTGCTGAGGTCCCAGCTCCCTGTCCTTTTAGGTGCTTGAAGAGCACCTTTCATGAGTGGTTCACTCTAGGCAGACAGGACAATATGCCATATGTAGGAGTCATAGGTGACAACATGCTATAACTGTTCAAACTGATGACAATTCCAAACACAGACTTTGTTCCAAAGGGCAAAGTTCNTTCAACCGCAAACCACCTGTCCCTAGACAGTGTATATGCCACGTTAGGTTTTTTCACATGATAACTACCTCCAAAGAGGAATGAGTGGATGTGCCCCTCAAAACAGGCATATGTGTTTATAGAAGCTTTTTAAAAAGATTAACCAAAACCTGGGAACCTGGAAATAACTCACATGTCCAATAGAGATTTGTCCAATAACCCATATCCCCAATGTCGGCCCATTCTATAAGTGGATGAATTGTCAGATGGTTACACAACTGGATATGACATAACAGTGAGAAAAGAACATATCAGTGCCACTTGCAGCAACGTGGATGCCTGTCATAGATATACTGACATGCAGAAGGATCCAGACACAAGGTGTACATATTGCATGATTTGTGCAACTTAGTATATTATCTATAAAACAGGAAAATAGATGAACTGTTAATGACTTACTGTAGTTTTAAGTGTCAGTTAAAACTAATACCCACATATACTCACGTATCACACCTTCTCTGTTGAAGCATTGAAATGTAAAAGAGAGAACGTATAACAACCACCAAACGTAAGATTGAGGCTCATTAACTGTCGCACTTTTGAGATTTGACATCTGTGTTTTCAAAGAATGCTTCTACCCTTTGAGCATTTCCTCTTTATGTTGTGGTTAATAACACTGAGTTTAAACCAGACTGCTGCTTTGAGAAATAAACCCTAACTATCGAGAGGGCATTTTGTCCATATCATCAGGGAAATGTTCTATTCAATTTAAAGATTCTCATTCTCAAAATGTGGTTGAAGGGCCTCTGGAGCCACAGGGGACAGGATAGGAGAAAGGTCTATTAACGCCAACTGTGAACACCAGAAGTGCAGAAGGAGGGGAATGAGCTCATACCTTGTGTAGACAACAGGATCAGATGATTTTCCAAAGCCAGAGTATCTGGGTTAATTGAGAAAGTGGGGGGGAGAGAGAGAGAGAGAGAGAGAGAGAGAGAGAGAGAGAGAGAGAGAGAGAGAG